TGCCTTGCTTCCTCCTTAAAACCAGCTTGAAGCCAGGCTCTGGTTGCTGCCAGTGCTGGAGGAGGTGAGTGGTATTGCAGAGAGCACAGACATCCTCTGCCACACGTGATGGCTCAAAGGAGCCCTTCTGCTGGTTCCCCACCAGTGCATAGAGCTGCACTGGGTGGGGATCGCTCGGGATCCCCTGGGTCCTCAGAATGCAGATGGCTGCTGAGCGAAGCCTCCCTTGCCCACTGGTGCGGTGGGTTGATGTAGCCCTAAGGATGTTCTCCCTTCTTCCTTTCCTAGGGGAAGAGAGGACGGCCTCGTAGATCCCACCGAGCTGCTGCCTGCTCTGCTTGGACTGAGAGAACGGACAGTAAGTACCCTTTGTTGTCCTGATGGGATTAAGGATGGGGATGCTGGAAAAGGTCTCCCCAGGAGGAGCATCCTCCTCCTGTTGTGGCTGTTGGGGTTAATGGAGCATCAAGGGGGTACAAAGTGATGGAGCCCATTAAATCCATCTGGTTCACCCCAGAGGTTTTGGGGACAGAGGTTTTGAGATCAAGGGTGGGGTTACCCTGGGGATTGGACTACCCAAAATCAGCTGGTTTTCTTGTGAAAAACAGGAGGTGTTGGAGGAAATGGTGTGGAAACCGCAGGGCTGCTGCGGTTGGGGGTTAAGGTGGCACTTAGAGCCTTGCAAAGGGGAATGTGACTGGGCAGGCAGCTTTTGAACCCCCAAAAGGGACTCCTGTAGTCAAAAGCCTCTGCCTGTGGGATAACTCATCCCGTGGGGCTTGAGGTCCCTGAATTTCCCACCTGTTTTCCCTGGAGAGCTGAGGTTGAATCTGGGCATTGCTTCAGTTTGGGTTGGAGGTGGCTGGAGCACTTTGGTTTAAGTTTTTACTTCCCTTGATTGTTTGCATCCCTATGGATGCTTTGCCCACTGCTCCTGGGGAAGCAGGCAGTGGAGAAAGGCTTCCTTCACCTATAATAACCTACAGCCTTACAGCCTTACAGCCTTAACCTATAACAACATAGCCTTACACACTGAGGAGTAGCCATGTAGCTCCTTTCATGCCATGGGGTTATCCCAGAGGTATGAGATACTCAGGTGTGCCCATGCAGTGCTGTAGGAAGGGATCTGTCCTGTCCCTGTGTCTTCCTGCTGCCAGGATTAAATGAAAACCTGAACTGGGTTTTGACTCCTGGGCATGTTAAAACCAAGTGCTATGAAAAGGCAGGAGCAGCCCGGATTCATTCGGAGGACCTGCCACCATGGAAATACTTGCCCTGCCTTATTTGCTGTTGCCACCTCCTCCCGAGCACCCTCATCACGGGTAAATGTTTTTGTTCCAGCTGACATGCTGAAAAGGTTTGTTTTCAGTCCTGTCATAAACCTTTGGCTGGGTTATTGTGTGTCTGAGATACCATGGGCTAAGGCAACAGCTTCTCCTATTAAGGAGCAATTAAGATTCCTTTGAACTGACTTGCAGGGCTCTTAAAACAGGATAAATACGGGTATCAGCAGAATGGGCTGGTGCTCTGTTTGCTGTGACCATGTCCAGTGTCAAATGGGATTCATTTTTGCAGCGCCACATCCGGATGACCTTCTGCATCCCCCCAGCCCTGTGCTTGCAGGTTGTGCTCCTGCAATTGCTCTCTGTCAGCATCCCTCTACCACCACAGCATCCCTTGGAGGGGGATCATATACAGACCCTACTGACTTCTAGGCTGCACGGGTGGTTGTTTGCAATCCCGCATGGTTTTTCTCCCATCTTAGACAAAAGATAATCCCCAAGCACCTGGAGCTAGCAGCAGCTTTGGGATGCCAGGCCGGAGGTTTGGGTGCCTTTGATGCTCTGCCAAGCCCAAGCAGCACCTTGAGTTCGCTGGATCCTTTCCCTGGAGCATCCCCCCCGGCCGCCTCCCACGTTGTGTTCAGGCTTCAGTACGTGATGGCTTTGCCAGGGCAGGATGCAGCTGAGGCAGCGTGGGGGGTACAGCAGCATCTGCCAGGCTCCTCTGGCGATCCCAGCCCCACCGCAGGGAAAGCACCCATGAGATGGGGGCTTGCGTTATCCCAGGGCTGCAAACTGCATCCCCAGTGGTTGTCCTCAAAATGGAGCGTAGGATCTGTCCTGCTGGTCCCTGCAAGGCTCTTTGAAAGCTTGAAAGAGATGGTCTGGCTGCAGTCATAGAATCAAACAGGTTTGGGTTAAAGGGACCTTAAAGCTCATCCAGTTCCAAGCCCCTGTGTCCAGCCTGGCCTTGAACACTGCCAGGGATGGGGCAGCCACAGCTTCTCTGGGCACCCTGTGCCAGCGCCTCAGCACCCTCACAGGGAAGAGCTTCTGCCTAAGAGCTCATCTCAGCCTCCCCTCTGGCAGGTTCAAGCCATTCCCCTTGGCCTGTCCCTACAGGCCCTTGCCCAAAGGCAGGTTTCCTGCAGCCCCTTTAGGCACTGGAGCTGCTCTAAGGTCTTCCCTTCAGGAGCCTTCTCTTCTCCAGGCTGACTCAGCCCAGCTCTCTCAGCCTGGCTCCAGAGCAGAGCTGCTCCAAGGGGAAGTTAAAGGGATCTCTGCTCTCTGTGCTGTCTGTCTCCCTTTGGTTCTTGCTGCTGTGTTTGAATCCCTAGGGACTACATCCATTGCTTGGGTGTGATCCCCTCCAAATCCAGCTAAAAATAAGTGCCTGAGGATTTTTTTTGGAATGAACTTTTGGAGGTGCTCACTCCAGGGAAGCTGGACCAGCACCTCCATGCCCTACAGACATGGGATGATGTGAGCATGGGAGAGGTGTCATTGTTATGTCACGCTTCATCTCCTCCATCCTTGGGTTACCATGGAAACGTAAAAGTACCAAGAGCTTTCACTGCTGGTCCATGGATGCTTGGCTGAGATCACCATCCTCCTGTGCCAGGGTGAGGTGTGGGGGGGTTATATTCACCCACCACATTTGTGCCCACTCCGTGGGTTTAAAGGCATTAACTTCTTTTCCCCCAAACACGGTTGGGAGCAACTCAACTGATGCCTGCTGCCACTTCATGGGCTGATGTGACTGAAATCCATGAATCTGAAGCTGTTGAGGGCGGATGGCTGTAGATACAGGGATGAGCTCCTCTGAGGTCACACACACACAGCAGGTGGTCCCCATGGGGCTTTCCGAGGGTGGGAAGCAAAACCCCGCTCTAGGCCTGAAGGAGATTGGGAAACCCATGAAGTGCTTCACCAGGAGATGCCTCCACAGCATGCTGGGGATGGGGCTTTCCTGAAACGCTGGGCTGGGGAAAGGGAGGCCTGGCTGGGAACACGAGGTGCAGCAGGGGTTCCATGCCCTTTGGGCGGCACTAACATTCCACCCCATGGTTCTATGGCGGTTCGTTGCCTAGACATCAAAGGGAGGGGCTTTTCCAGTTGCTGCTTCCAAGCGTGGGGAGCAGAATCCACCTGGAATTCTCCTTCCAGCCCTGGAGTATGGCACGGGAGGCAATGCCCTGGACCAAACCCATGGGGACCTGTGGTCGAGGCATGTTTGCTTGTTCCATGAGAAGGGTGAGTGCTGAATCTTGCCCTGCCGGATGGGACCAGAGATGCTGCAGGGTCTGAGGATGCTGTGGGGGCCTCAGAGGTGCTGTAGTGAGACAGGGATGCTGTAGTGGGGCAGGGATGCTCTAAGATGCTGTGAGGGACCAGGGACGCCGTAGTGGGACAGGGATGCTGTTGGGGTCTGAGGATGATGTAGGGGACCAGGAATGCTCTAGTGAGACAGGGATGCTGCAGGGACCAGCAGGACCCTTTAGCATTGCTCCCCCACTGTCTCTTCAAGGATGGAGGGAGCTGTCTTGGGGTGTTGAGACCTTCCTGCTTCTCAGCAGCCACTCTTGTTTGGGCTGCAGATCTGGTAGCACAAGGCTGGGGGGTGCTTGACTTCATTCCAAAAGCACCTCCGCCTTGGCCTGGGCTCGGGGGCAGCCTGGGTGTGCTCTGTTTTGCTCTGCATTCCCCAAACGCTTGCTTAAACAGTATTTGTTTTCCTTGAGAGTTATTAACTGTTTGCTTTAGATAAGTTTTGCATCAGGCCCAGCCTGTGCACACAAGCCTTTGAAGGGATCATAAAGCCTTAAAAGAATACATCAGGCGGTGTATAAAGGCAAACACGGGGGTGAGAATGGATTTTCCCAGTGTCTTAAGGTGGTGAGAAGCTCAGTTGGGTGATTTGGCGCTGGAGGAGAGAGCTGGGGGTGAATTTGGTGCTAAGTTCGGCTCCGAATGCTTGGCTTGGTGAATGGGGATGCCCAGGCTGCCCAAGGAGCATCACCAGCCTTGGGCTGTGGTGGCTGATTTTTGCCTCGGGGACTTTTGTGGCCAGTTTTGCTGGGAAATAACCCCAGGAAAACACAAGGTGCTTCTTAATTTCCCCTGATTTTGTTGTTTTCAATCAAATCTAACGTATAAAAGGGTGAGACCACCCCAGCTCCTTATCCCTGCTTGCTTAAACCTGTGGATTTAATCCTCCCTTTCCTTCCCGAGCTGGGAGGGAGACAGATATACCAATGCAGGATGAGAGCTGGGGATGGCAGTGGGATTTTGTTTCCCTTTCCTGGGGTTTCCAAGTGATGGATGGACTGAGCTGGGCACGATTCACCGGGAAGGGGTTCAATATCTATGTTTTATGGAGGAGAAGGGGGTTCCAAGGGTGCCACCTCACCTGTTCCCCTCCCCTGTTGCCAAATGGCCGCGGCTTTCTTTGCTCTCTATCCCGTCCTGTTGCCTGTAACAGGGCTTAATTGTCCTTAATTCCCTTTTAATTGCCCTACCTGCCCTTTTTAACTATTTGACCTTCCTGCCCTTTTCATTTCGGGAGCCCGGGATGAGGATTGAAGGAGCCTGGCTCTGGTGGGCTCATCTTTGGTCCCATTTCTCCTTGTTCTTGATCCACTTTGCCCCCCCCAAACCACTCCTCTTGACTGATTCTTGTTTGGCTGAACCCGTAGCCGTTGTGGGTGGCATATACCGTGTTCATTAGCAGTGCTTCGTTAGGCAGGGTGAGGTGCTGAGATGGGTCATGTCCCCCCCTCCAACAAGGTGACTAATCCCTCGGAGACCAGGATTTCCATGGCTGGCCTGGGCGTGCTCCTTTCCTCTTGGCTGGGCATTTACCACCTCCTCGCCCTCTCCTCCTCTGAGACGTGGCTGGTTGTGAGCTTGGAGAAGCTCAGTTATGGGCTGGCAAAGCCAAGCCCAGTTCTGACCTGGGATATATCCTAGGGGTGCGGCTTATCAGGAGCAAAGTCTCCCATGTACCCCAAACTACCTCCCAGCTGGTAAGTCTGTTCTCTATCGTTGCTGTGTTGTGGTGGGTGCCAGGGTGGCTCCGAGCTGGGCTCTTTGCTCCCTTATTCCAGGAGCGAGAGGTTTTGGAGGAAGAAAAAATCACCCCACATCCCTGGCTGGCGTTTGAGTGTACATTAAGGTTGCAGCATCCCCCTTTGCCCAGGCCAGGATGGTTGAATCGAAGGCATTGGAGGTTCCCCAAGTACGTGTTGCTCTTTGCTTTGACCCCAATCCTGTCCCTTCTGCCTGGCTCGGTGGTGGCTTGTTTGGCTTTTGTGGTGGCTGGTGTTGGTCGATCGCTTGAGCCAGGGCTGGGCTTAAAACTTGGCCCCCAGGTCATTGACTTGGGTGCTTTGGGGTGTTGTGGTTGAAACCCCCACGGGGGCTTGTTTTTCCTCTTTGATTCTCTTCTCTTTTGTTCCTCTTGTTTCGGTGTTCAACCTGTATGGCTGAGGCTCCCTGGGACCCTGGCTTATATAAACTGTATATATCAAACCACCTCTGCAGGGCAGAGAAATGTGGGTTTAAATAGAAATACATCAGGAAGCCCTAATACCCGCTTGTCTGGGGTTGCAGAGACCTCTTGGACAGGGTGTTTGGGGATGGCATCAATGGGTTTGGACCTCATCCAATGCCTATCCCTCTCTTTCCCTCTGCCAGGTGACCAGCGGCAGCCACAATGAGAGCTCCGGCCCTCGCCTGATGCCTCTCCTGCTGATAAAAATGATCAACAAGTCCCGTGAGTTCCATGGGGAAGGTCCCATCTCCCTTTTTCAACTGGGAATGAAGGGTTTCAGGGGGATTTGCATGTGGAAATTTGGCTTTGGAGGGGGTCGGATGCTGCTTTGCTGCAGCTCCAGTTGGGTGATGGAGTACTGGGGCATCGTGGTGGGCTTTTTGGAGTCTGGGCTTGGGCACACGGTAGCACTCAGGCTTTGTGGTAACAAAAGGGGGTGGAGACACCTGAAGAAAGGTATGCTCTTGTGTGGCCTTTGACGCACGCTGGGCAGGAGGAAGCGACAGGGAAACCTTCGGATCCAGGACAAAACCACCCTGGCTCCGTTCTGGATGGGGGTGACTGTGCCAGCTGGGCCCTGCTGCTCCCTGGGGATAGCTGTGCAATCCTGGATCTCCCAGGGCATCCCCATATCCCATCATCCAGAACTCAGGGTACGAGCTTGATGGTGTTTTTCTCTCTCCCTCCACCCCTTGACATGCAGGAGGGAAGATACTCGGGGTGCTGGCGCTGTTTCTGGTGATGGTTTGGTACTCTATCTACCGGGAAGACAGGTACATACAGCTGTGAGTGGCTTTTATTCCAATTTAAAGGACATCCTGCCCTTTCCTTCGCTCTCTGGAGGCAGCATCCTCCTGCCCAGCCCATGCAGGGATGCTGGAGCATTGTCTTGCTGGATCCTAGGGGACTGGGGGGCTGGCTGATGCCGGGGGGGGGACACACGTTATGAGGTTCCCCCTTGGTGTGTGTTAGGATTAGGAGCTGTGGGGGTTTTTGGCAAGTGCCAGTGTTCTTCTGAGCCCAGGAAGAAGGGGAAAACCCTTCCCTGTTCCCAGCCCCGTGGTGGAGGTAGGGAAAACAGCGTGAGGTCTGTGAGCAGAGCAAGAGAGACCTCTTCTGATGCAAAGCTGCAAGCCCAGCAAATAAGCAGAGCTTAAATCTGGTGGGCAGTATCTGCCCTTGAGTCCCATTGAATTCAAGCCCCCATTGCCAGGACAGGGATGCAGCGGAGCAGGCAGCATTTATACGTCTTGTTTTAACCTCTTCCTTTACAGCTTTTATTTCCCTGTGCAAGAAAACAAGACGATGTGTCCCCTCGGGGAGGTGGAGAGGAAAGCGGCGCAGCTCATCGGGAAGTGAGTGTTGGGTTAGAGGGGAAAGCAGAGCCCTTCCTCCCCATCCCGCTCTCACCATCCCTTTGCTCCTTGGCAGTTACACGAGGGACCACCCGCTCTTCTTGCAGCTGAAGGACTACTTTTGGGTGAAGACTCCGTCGCTCTATGAGCTGCCCTACGGCACTAAAGGAAGCGGTGAGCCTCAGCATTGGGTTTCTGGTTGTGCGGCTGCTGCTTCCTGGGGGTTTCATTGCCTCTTCTCAAAACCAGGTTGATTTTTGGGGCAGTGCTGTCTTCCCCTTTACCCCCCAGACAAATAGCTTGCTTGATTTCTAGTTGTTACAGCGCTTATCTACTTGCCTTTGTCCCTCTCCTATGGTTTAGGGTGGGCCAGGCTTTATTAAGGAAAGGATTATGTGCCCAGAGCTGGGATAGTGGCAGGAGGTATCTGGCAGGGATGGGGCAGCACCCATTGTAGCAGGCAGGAGCTGCCTTCCTCACCTTCTCCTCACCCTTGCTTTGCAGAAGAAGTCCTCCTGCGCTTGCTGTCAATAACCCATTACTCCCTGCCCGAAAGCATCCAGAGGTAACACTGGGGTGGGTTCAGGGCCTTTTCTGTCTCCTCATCGCTCTCTTGTGGGGCGGGAATTTGCCTATCATGGATCTGGGGCAAAGTGAACCTCGGCAACCCAGGGCTGGTGGATGGAGCATGGGAAGCTCTGTGGGTTAAAGCCCCCTCCCTTGGGGGTTAAACCCACCTTGGTTTTGGAGCAGGTCTGGTTGAGAAGGGGCTTTTCTCCTGCAGACTGAAGTGCCGGAGGTGCGCGGTGGTGGGCAACGGCCACCGGCTCCGCAACAGCTCCATGGGGGAGACCATCAACACGTACGATGTTGTGATCAGGTACGGCCCTGTGTCCGTCCCACTGATCCCTCCCCGGTGCCACCAGCAGATGGGGTTGATGCCTCTGATGTCCCCCTGTCCCCCCTCAAGGCTGAACAATGCCCCGGTCCATGGCTACGAGCAGGATGTGGGCTCCAAGACCACCATGCGCCTTTTCTACCCGGAGTCTGCCCACTTCAACCCCAGGACAGAGAACAACCCTGACACACTGCTGGTGCTGGTGCCCTTCAAGCCCATGGACTTCCAGTGGATGGAGGCCATTCTCAATGACAAGAAGAGGGTAAGCATGGTGGGGAACTAAGCCCAACCTTCATCCCAGCCCACCCTTGGAGTCTTTCCTCTCTAACTGGGACACATCTCTATCCTCTTGCAGGTGCGGAAAGGGTTTTGGAAACAGCCCCCGTTGATCTGGGATGCCAACCCGGAGCAAGTCCGCATCCTCAACCCTTATTACATGGAAGTAACTGCTGCTAAACTGCTCAACCTCCCCATGAAGCAGCCACGGAAGGTCAAACAGGTAAGGGGGTGGCATGGCCGTTCCTCAAACACCCCCCTTGAGGGGTGATGGCCTCCATGGTGCAACTCGGTGAAGGCTACGACTCTTTGCAAGCCTTTTCCTCTGCCCTCTCCCTCCAGAAGCCCACCACGGGTTTGCTGGCCATCACCTTGGCACTGCACTTCTGTGACCTGGTGCACATCGCGGGCTTTGGCTACCCTGATTCGGCCAACAAGAAGCAGACCATTCACTACTATGAACAGATCACACTCAAGTCCATGGCGGTATGTGTTAGCCCTCCACTTTGCCCATGTTAACCCCTATTTCCCCCCTAGGATGGGGATTTTGCCCTAAGAAAGACACTAAGCAGTGCGGGATACTCTTCCCCATGGAGACTCCTTACTCCCCTTCCATGATGGGTGTTGATGTGCGAGGAGAAATTAGATGATTTTTAAAGCCATGGTGGAGATTTGGGTTTGGCTGATGTGAGGGGGCTGGGAGGGTCTTATTCCTCCTTTTGGGGGGCTTCTCGCTTGAGGTGAAGGCATCAGCTCCCCTCAGTGCTGGTGGGATGGGTAAGGCGGAAGGCGCAGAAGGAATATGGGTCTCACCCATGTCGTGTCCTGTAGGCATCGGAGCACAACGTCTCACACGAGGCAGTAGCCATCAAACGGATGCTGGAGCTGGGCCTCATCAGGAACCTCACCTACTTCTGAAGGCCCCGGGGGCTGCGCAGGGACCACATCCCCCATTGGAGGGGGACACCAACACCAGCACGGCCAGAACCCGGCGAGAGCATCATCCCCTCACCCTGCCCTCGTGGGACTCTTGTTGCTGGGGAGCCTGTGCTGGACCGCGGGTACCCTCAGCGGAGGTGGGGGGGCGCAGGGAGCCCCCGCATCCCACCCGGAGCCTTTTCCTACCGATGCACTGATGCTACCAAGGACTTAAAGGGGGGTTTTGGGGTGGGGTCTGCCCTCCCAGCGGGCCTGGGGGGCAAAGGGAGGTCAGGAGCCTTTCCCCTGGGCTCTTACACTTAATTCCCTCCTATTCGGACGAGGGCCCCACTGAGGGGCCGATTTGGGGGTCCTGGGATCCCCCCAGGGAGCAGGAGCCTTCAGGGGGGTCCATGTCACCTCCTCCCTGCCCAGGTTCCCCCCCCCGAATATTTAATTCCCCCTCTTTTTATTTCCTTTCTCCTCGGCGGCCCCATCCTGTGCCTTAGCGCTGGCGCGGGGGCTCGTCCCCGCAGCCCCCCCCTTGGGTGGGGGTACCCCGAGGTGCCTGGCCTTGGGGTCCGCAGGGGCCTTCTGGGTGGGGTGGGGGGAGTTTAATTTAATTAATTTAAATGCTTATTTATCGTGGAGCTTCTCCTGGGGCTTGTCTGTTGCTCACGGGGGGGCTGAGTATGAGATGGGGCCGCACCACCATGTCCCCTTACCTGCTGTGTCCCTGGTGTGACACCCCATCTCCTGGCTTCTGTGCCATGCCTCAGTTTCCCCCTGCCACAGGCCCCCCCTGCACCCATACACCCAACTTGGGTACCCCACCATGATGCTGTATCCCACCCAAACTCGAGGCCAGGTCCATGCTGGGGCGCAGAGCATCACCCAAAGAGCCGGCGTCCTCGCGGGGTGGGCATCAGCCACGAGAAACACCTCTTGTATTGACCGCGGCACTGCGCTCCGGCGATACAGCGTGGAGAGGCCCTTCCCGGGGAGGGGATCCCCATCCCACTGATGTCCCCATTATCCTGTCCCACGCAGCAGGACCCCTCTTTTAATCCCCCCCCCAAAAACGGACGCTATAAGTATGGACACAACACCAAGAAGGAACGGAAGGAGCCGGGTGGGAGAGGGCGGTGGGAAGCTGAGGTGGGCGCAGGGGTGCGTGGTTGGGCTGGGAGTGACCCCTCGGTGGGGTTGTGCTTTAGCATGTACCAGGCTGGGGGATGATGCTCGGCCGGTCCCCAGCCCCACAGCCCCACTCCGCTGGGGGCTGGATCCAGCCTCTTCCCACTGCCATTCCCGGCGGGTGCAGCTGTCCCGGCACGAAGCCATGGCACCCTCATGGATGGTCCAGAGCATCCCCGGAGGGGGCTCAAACGTGTGTCTGCATCCGCCTCTGCAGGGGCCGGCTGGGGTCCGAGTTTTGGGAAGAAGATTGGGAATGGTGGGAGGAGGAGGCGGAAGCCTTGCTGGCCTTGTCGAACTGCACGTAGCCGTCCTGCTTGCCGCTGCTGCTGATGCTGCTGTCGCACTGGGTGTCGAGGAAGGAGCTGCTGTCGCTCATGGAGCCGCGCTGGAACTCGCGCTCGCAGAGCTCGATGGAGCTGCTGCCCATGCCCAGCACGAAGCGCTGGCTGTAGTCGTAGAGGCGGCTCTGCCCGCTCAAGGTGCTGTAGATGTTGGTGAAGGACATGCCGGTGGGCACACGCTGCTTGTTGGCAGGGCGCAGGTCGGCCGGGCAGCCCGACAGCGAGATGGTTGGGGTGGAGTGGTGCTCCTTGAAGGTGTTCACGCTGTAGTAGCCATTGGTGGGGTCCTGGGGAGTGGGAAAAGAGGGGGGCAGGTTGGTGGTGCCCAGCTTACCCGTGTGTGCCAGCATTCGGGGCACCCACCTGGCTCTTCCACCTGTGATAGGACACCCTTACCCACTGCCCACATGGAGCATCCCATGCAGCTCGGCCTCCTCTGAACTGGGGCAGAGGGAGGCATGGGGACCCCTTGCCTAACACCCACTCCGTTTTATCCCCTAAAGGGCACTGGGACCAGCAAACAGCACTGTGGGTACCAGAGCCCTTCAGTATGGGGGACATGGCCCAAAGACAGCCCAGGAGCAGCACTGCTGGGTGAGGGATGAGCTGGTCCTGCCCTGTGGTGGGCATGGAGATGGGTACCCAGCACCTTGGGGTGCAGCCATCTCGGCTATGTGCCACAGGGGTGACTGGGGGGGGGGGCTTTGAGCCACATCCTGTCATGGGGCTAGGGAGGAAGAGGGGGGATACTCGCCTTCAGGTTTTGAAACTCCTTCTCCTCCTCCTTGAGCACCTCGAGCTGCTTCAGCACTGAGTCCTGCTGGAACTCCCCCCGGTCCATCTGGGAAAGGATGGAAGGGGTGTCAGCATCCCCATTACAAGTTGTGGTTTTCCTCCTCTGTTTAGGACTAAAAAGGCTCAGCTGATGCAGGAAGTGAATTATTGACATATACAATGGTGAGTGTTGGGGCTGCGCGCAAACAAAGCCCCAAATCTCCTTTTTTATTGTTGGTTTTTCTTTCTTTTCATCCTTTTCTCTTAAACTGAACTTGGCCACTAACCCCTCAACATCCCAGACAGGTTCTGGCACATAGTTAATGTGAAAGCCTTAATCTGACCCCCACACACTCTGACATTGGCTCTTCTCAAAGATTTGAGTCCCCTGCCTGTCTCCAGCTGGGTCAGGAGGGGATAGACAGGCTGGAGAAGCTTCTTTTGATCTGATCTGAGTGCATTTTATCCTCCTGCTGCTACTTGGTGGATGCTGCTGCCCCAACGTGCTGCCTTCACCCATCTCTCTTCCTTCAAAGGCTAACCATGAGCCGGGGGGGCAAGATCCACATTAATTAGCCCATGGTAGGGCTGTGCAGAAGCAGAATACTCATAGAATCAGAATAGTTCAACCAACTTCTTCCGGACCACACACCTCCATTCAGGTTTCTTTGCCCCAGCACTGGGCTCCCAGCCCCAGATTAGCTCCAGAATCCCCTTTTATGGCCCAACTTCTCTTTCTTGTAAAGCTGGTAAGTGGTTGTGGAAATTCACCCTGCAGCACTTTCTGTTCATCTCCTGCAAGCCTTTGATATGGCTTTTAAATGCAATAAATTAAAGTACCTGAGTTATCCTAGGGAAAATAAAAGCCTTGTAGCAGCCGTTGATTTACCAGAGTAAATACAAAGGATTGCATTCAGTGCAGCTCAAATGGTACATGGAGGGGGTTTATTGCTCTGTAGGCTGCATGCCAGCCCCAGCAACACCCTAAATCCCCTAAAGCATTGCTGCAAAAGCTTGGGATTAGGATGCATTCGTATTGCACCCATCACAAGGGTCTCTTCTCAGAAGAGAGAGCACTTCTGCTTGGACATGGCTGGTTTTGGTGTGGGTGACCCAGGTGGATGCAGCCAGACATGGAGAGGGGTGAAGAGCAGGGGAGAACCAAGGGGCCAGTGCTGCTCATGGCAAACCCTCCAAAATGGGTATTTTAAGCCATTTTATGTCATCTCTTGCAATGATAACTGGAGTGGCTAACTAAAGTGAACTCTATTACCAATATTAATGGGGATTACAAGTGCAGAGGCAGCAGGGGAGGGGGAGAGAGGGAAAGACATGGAAAAGGAGACAGGAAATCACAGCATGGTTTGGGTTGGAAGGGACGTTGGGATCACCTCTATCACACTTGCTCCTGGCAGTGGCAATGACTCCTTTAGAATCATCAGGTGAGGAAACTGGGGTGCAGAGTCCCATGAGCCAGGAATAAAGCCTGGTCACCCAGCCACAATACCAGAGGAGGTTACATCATGTTGGAGCTGATGCTGCTCTTCAACCCCCTAATCCCAGACTGGGCTTAGCTGAATTGGTGTGCCCATGCCATGTACCATGGTGGGAGTGAGCAAAGCTACTGCTGGGATTTATTTATCCGGGATCAGACCCTTTAATGGGCTCTTTTGCCTCTAGCCCCTGGCTGCTGTTTGCTTTCCCTGCAGGCTGGCAGCCTTTTCCCTGCCTGTGGGCAGAGCAGCTAATGGGATTGGGGAGCCAGAGCTGAGACAATGCGAACAAATGCAAATCAGGCAGCATGACGTGTCTCCTCAGGTGTTAATGAACTTATAGATGCATGAATAATTACTTGTGAAAAGCACGGAGAGCTGCAGAGGTCACAGATGGCTGGAGAATAACAAACACAGTGGCATTTAGCAGGGGGAAAGAAGAGTCACGCTGGCACTTTGCAGCCAGAAAGGCTCCAGCAAAGCAGAGACATGGTGAGATCATTTCAAAGGATGCTGTGGAGGTTGAACCCAGGCTTGAAAGGCCACAGGAAGCTTAGGGAAGGTAAATGAAGCAGCAGTGGGGAAGATAATATATGGGGAGGAGGGAAAGAAGGAAGGTCTTGGGGGTGAGGGCATGGAGCAAGTGAAGGGTGCTCTGCAGTGCTCATCACCACTCCTCAGAAAGGGTGGATTTGTTTTAACTTGATCCATCATTTGGTTGGCAAACTTGGAGCATCTAGTTAGGAATGTGTTTAGCAGCTGAAGCCTAGATCTCTAATGGCCAGAAGAGGATGCTCGAGGAGCAAGGAAGGGGATGAGGAGCAGTGGGGGCTCCCTGAGGACTCTGAAGAGAGAAGAAATTGGGAAGCATTTAGTGGGAATGCTTTTGCTAAGAGCAGATGAGGAAGGGGAGGCCCTGGTCAACGCATTACAGGAGGCTATGTTGTCTCCTTCCTGACAGGTAGGATGTCCAAATCCGCCCAGCACTGGGGTCATGGACTATGGACCATCTCTTCCAACCTCTTGAGCAGTGTTGATCCAACAGTGTTACATCCAACTGATGTATCTTCAGGAAAACCCCTGCATTTGGCCAGGAGAGGGAGAAATTCACCTTCTCCCAGTCCAGCAGCCAGGCTGTTACACTCCCTCATCTTGTACCTAAAGTGCTTGACTTTGCCTCCCCTCTTTGCACTTAAACAGCCCCTTTATATCATGCTGTAACCAAACCACCTCTCTTGCTGATAAGGTAGAACACATGAGCTTTGTAAACCTCTCCCTATAGGCATTTATTTCCCTGCTATCAGATAAATGTCACTTTTTTCTGTACCATTTCCAGCCTGCCAGCATCCTTGTTGCACTGTGCACATCCCTGCACTGCTGCTGCACAGCCTCATCAAGGGCACACACTGATGTGAAATCGCCTCCTGGCTCTGCCCCATGGTGTCTGGCAAGATCCCATGCCTGGCATCCCACAACCATCTTCTTCTTCATTTACTCATCAGTGGTAGATGTTCCTTGTATGCCCACTTTGCTGAGGCTTCCAGCTTGGTGGTTAAGATCTCGAGCGGCAATTGGGCTGCTCTCAACCCCTCTTTTGGAAGCTAGACATGGTGCATGCTGTCCGTCACTGTAATAGAGGGTCCTGTGAAAAGAAAGCTCCTCATTCCCTGTCATCTCAGCAGACTGCTCCAAACTTAAGTCCCGGCCTCCTCTGTCCTTCCATGGAGCTCTGTCCTTCTTCTGCACATCATGACATGGATCTGCAGACTCCTCAGAGCAAAGTCCAACTGGGAATAAAGGGGCTTGCACAGACACCTCAGCAGTGCTGGCAGAGACATGCCAGACCT